CATCTCTTTCACCAATTGAGAGCCATCCTAGCCTGGTTAAAGAGACATAATTACTAGAGATTATCATTATTACCAGCAAGAACCCGGACCCGTTCATCTTTAAAAGCATTGCCGGACATCCACGTCACAGTCTTTTCATCACGACGTCATGAATGGGAGTCGTGCAATACTTAAGATATATATATATTTTTTTATTTTTCTTCTTTTATATAAAAGGAAGTTGAGCTAGGAGAGAGAGCCCCCTCATTTCTCGTGATTTCTAGGATTTTTGGGGATCTCTCTCTCTCCCCCCTCTAAAAAAGCTTTGTAGCTCGGAAAATCTCCAATGAACCCAATATATGGCCTTCCGGAGGCTCGAGTTAAATAGATAATCTCTGAAATCTCTCTTATCTTACATCCATTTCTCTTCTACTCACGAATGATATGAGATCCTACCTCCTAAAATAATTTAACAAATAAATATCTTAGATGCGGAACTAAAATTAACTTGGAATATTTTGAAAAATATTTTTCTGTAATTTCTCTCAGAGCAAAAACAAAAATACTAATTTCATTCTACTTCTAAGCAGTTTACAAATCTGTCCTCCGAGCACGGACTTCTGCAACGATAGGCCAAGTTATCTGAGGTTTAATTAAACTCATCAAATTCGACTTCAGTGACATGAAACGGTTAACAGATCAAACAATCTTCTTCTGATTCTATTAAATTAAGTTACGATTTTCCAAGTGCTGGTCATCTGTAATATCATTCTACCATTATTAAGAACAAAGAAACGAAAAACGTATGGCGTCAGTTTTGGCAGGTCAAATTTTATTTGCAGAAAAATTGCTGTAGCTTTTGTTCTTTATATTCATCTTCTTTCTTATTTTTTTCGTTTTCATTAGGAGAAAGAGCATTCAAGCGTGACATGTGGAGGTGGAAAGGACGAAGATGATAACTGAATTTGGCCAAAATTTTAAGTAATTAATGAAAGGCGTGCGTGGAAATGCACTGGTATTTTTAAATTTCTTATAACCCCGCAACTAAAATAATCATTGAAAGAGTGCTGCTATTGTATTTTAGCAGGCTATCAAAGTTTGCAAAATTAGCTATGTATTTAATTAAGGGTGCGTTTAGGGCAGTTTTTTAGCTGCGATGCGGT